CCCAACGGGCGGGGATCTGTGAGGGGGCTGTTCTGGCTGCTCCGTGGCTGCCCAGCTGTGGGGAGGCTGCTGGCAGACTAAACTCACCCCATTGTCACCTCTGGGAGCTCTGCGTGTTTGATGCATGCAGGCTGGGAGCAAGGATGACAGGCAGATCCTCCTCCCCCACTGCTCAGCACCCAGTCGTGGTTCTTTCTGCTGCTCTTGTCCCCATCACCCCTGCATGTGCCAGCAGGGATCCCCAGCCATGAGGACTGCAGGGCCTGGTGGGGTCCCCATGGCTTAGGGGGTGCTGTGGGTGGGGAGGAGGAGGTGGCTTCAGGGTGAAGGACATGAAGGAATGTCATTACCCAGCCCCTGGAAAGGCAGAAGGCTGGGCTGGGGAATTGGTTTCCATTAAGGCAGCAAAAAGCTAATTTGGCAGCTGCGGTTGCTATTAACCCCTTGCGCTCCAGCTCAGCCTGTGCTGATGGGCTTCTCGCTCGCCTCCCCACCACCAAGGTGGCTGTGCATGCCCCAGGGCTGGCCACTGAGCCAGCACTGCTCTTTGCCAGGGGCTGTGGACAGGTCATGGCACTGGTGCCTAATGGAGATGCCCCCATTCAGGTGCCCTTCATCTGTCCTGGTGGTCCCTGCTGATGATAAAAGCTGTGGAGAGCCACAACTGCTCCCTCCTGCCTTGTGGGGGCACCTGCTTACCCTGGGGGCACCTTGAGCTGTCCCCACAGGGCAGGGGTGACACAGCTGCCCCCACCTCCCCCAGCATCAGCCCCCACATGGAATTGCTCCACATACCCTGGACAGGCCATGGAGCAAGGGTGGTGCTGGCAGCCTTGCGGCTTCCCAGGCTCAGCCGGGCACCGGAGCGACGGCCGCAGCCTCAGCGAGTGCTGCTGCACCATATCGATCTCCAGAGACACCGCGCAGGGGTTGGGGCAGCGTGGCTGTCCTTTGGCTGCATCTATGTGAGTTCCCCCAGTCATAGGTGGGAGCATGGGGCAGCTGGGCTGGCTGTATCCTGGGCTCATCTCCATGAAGCACATGAGCTGAGGGGGCTGGGCACAGTGTCCCTACAGTCCACAGGGTGTGTGGTGCCACACACCAGGATGGGCTGGGCCTGAAGAGCTGGTGGCCCTGTGACCACTGGGTGGTGGGTGATGCAGCTGGGGGTGCTGGGGGCTGAGGCCTGACTGTGTCCCTTTGCAGGGCCGAGCGTGCGACGGCAGTGCTGCTGGCAGACCCCTGCCTCCAGCTGCGCTCCATCCAGTACCTGCTGGGCCACACCGAGCCCTCAGCCCTGGCAGCTGCTGCCCCGGCCACGGACAAGCGCCATTTCTCCCTGCAGACCTGTAAGTGTCAGCACCGTGCTGGGAGCTGGGCTGTGCTCACCCACACCTAGTTCCCAGCCATGGCTGGGATGGGGTCAGGGCTGCTGGTGTCTGTCCCAGTCCCCTTAGCCCTGGCAACAGGAGGCCATGGCTTCCCCACTGTCCCCCAGTGGTGGCACTTGGGATGGGGCTGTGCTCACTTTAGGCAGCAGTTCTGTCTACCATAGGACCCAGTGTCCACCTTGCTGTCCCCAGCACCAGGCTCCCTGTCTTAGCTTGTCCCCAAGGGCAACTGCAGCCCCTGTGCATTGTCCAGCAGCTTTGGGGCAACTTGAGGGTTACATTCACCCCACAGACACAGAATACATCAGTGCTGAGGAACTGGCAAAGGTGGACAAGATGCTGAGCCACCTGAGTGAGGAATCCAAGCAGGCAGCTGCCACCACACTGGTGAGTCCCAACCACCATTTTCCCCCCGCCCCCCCCCACCTCTCCACTCCCCAGCCCACTCCTGATGCAGGGCTTTGGACATGGGCTTTTTGCTGCTGCCACTAATCTGGTGACTGCCCCCCTACAGCCCACCAGCGAGGAGGACCTGTGCCCCATCTGCTATGCACACCCCATCTCCGCAATCTTCAGACCCTGCTCCCACAAGTCGTGCAAGTGAGTAGTGCACAGACATGACCCTCACTGGGGTGATCTCCAGCCCCAGGCACCCCCATGCCATGGCTTGGGGGGAAGGGCTCACACTCTTTTTTCCCGTGTTCCAGAGCCTGCATCAACCAGCACCTCATGAACAACAAGGACTGCTTCTTCTGCAAGGCCACCATCACAGGGGTGGATGACTTCACCAAGCCAGCCAGCTCATAGTGCCCAGCCCTGCACCACGGGCTCCCCTAGCTGCGCAGGGCGCTTCCCCCCACCCCCCAGCACACACACTGTCTTCTCCCCTCATGCAGGGCCAGGGCCCAGCATGGGACGTGCTGTGGGTCAGGGAAGCCAGGCACTGGGGCTGGTGTCCCCTTGCCCAGCGCCGTGGCAGCCTCTGTCCCCC